ACACACACACACACACTCGCTTGGCGTGAGTTTAAGCCACTGGGTCCAAGAATCTAATCGCGGTTAACAGTTATCTTCATGAGAGTCCAGCAACATAGCCATTACACCATCTGCTGGTCCCTATATATATGATATCTAAAAATAAATTTTATTTTTTGGCAATTAAATCACCGAGTGAGTTCATATGAGATAGTTTAAATGTATAGAATATACTTTGGTTACTGAAATATGATTTTTCATTTCCTTGCTGTCATCGATAATATTGTCCCTACAATCTTACCTATTTTGGAAAGTTTTTAAAAATTAATTCCAGAGGCCAGCAGGTGGTGTGGTGGTCAAAGTATTGAACTTCCACAGGACTGACTGCAGTTTGAGTCCCGGATCTGGCAGCTTACAACATACCATGACATGTGTGAATGTCCAAAATCCCAGAGAATGAAAGAGAAAGGACTGTGGCATGGCTATCCCCCTAGGGGCTGATTTCTCGCTGTCTGTCTCTTTGTCTCTCTGGTGAGCACACAAACCCTATAGCAAAAATCTCTTAAAAAGTTCAATCCATGAATATTTTCCCATCTCCACATTTTTTTTGAGAGGTTTTTTTTTTTTTTTTTTTCTTTGCTATAGGGCGCATGCACTCACCAGACAGACAGAGAGAGACATAGAGACAGAAAGCGAGAAATCACCCCCCAGGGGGGATGGTCACTCCGCAATCCCTTCTCCTCCATTCTCCTCCCGGGATCTTGGGCACACACGCACACGCACCTGGCGTGAGTTTTAAGCCACCGGGTCTGGGACATGAACCGCAGTCGACTACGTGGGAATCCAGCAACATAGCCATTATGCTAACTGCTGGTTCCCTCCATCTCCACATTTGAAAATAATCTTTTATACATTATTTCATAAAACCTAGTTAAAAATTTATCTAGGCTAACTGCTGGTTCCCTCCATCTCCACATTTGAAAATAATCTTTTATACATTATTTCATAAAACCTAGTTAAAAATTTATCTAGTTAGCTGTAGAATATGTGTTTTAAGTTTATATTATTCATTATATAACTGATCTATTTATTTGTTTATTTAGCCTCTCCAGATAATACATGGCTAACCTAACTTTTCACATTATGAGACAGAACCCAGTGTAAGGGTATGTGTGTGAGGGGAGGGTAAGATAAGGGAGAAATTTTCTACTTTCTGTGCCTATGATCAGATCTGAATATTGTATGTATTTTTGTTTAAAGTTAAAAACCATAGAGAAGCTGTTTACTTCTTTATTTTAAAAGATACTTATTTTCAGTAGTCCTCCTCACACATTATTTGTGTACATACCCACTCTGACTGGCTTTAGCAGTCAGTCCCCACAACCCTGTTGAAAGCCTTCATAAATTCCAAAAGCCACTGAGCTGGGATGAAGAAGCAGGGATGGATGTTCCATCTAGCAGTTCACACAACTTGGTCTCCATGACCCTTTCGCTGCTTTCATTCTGCTATTCCAGGGCAAGTGGCTTTGCACGAACCCAGGGTCCCCTCTAGGAGCTGGGGTCCCTCCGCGGGATGCGGCGGGCCAATGCCAGCGCCCTGGTGGGTTTCATCCTCCTGGGCTTCTCCGACCACCCTCACCTGGAGGCTGTGCTCTTCGTGTTCGTCCTCCTCTTCTATATGCTGACCCTCGTGGGGAACTTGGCCATCATCCTCATCTCCTGTCTGGACCCCCTTCTCCGCACACCCATGTACTTCTTCCTCAGCCACCTCTCCTTCCTGGACCTCTGCTTCACCACCAGCCTCGCCCCCCAGACCTTGGCTCACCTGCGAGGCCCCGGGAAGACCATCTCTTATGGTGGCTGCGCCCTGCAGCTCTACACCTCTCTGGCGCTGGGCTCCACTGAGTGCGTGCTGCTGGCGGTCATGGCCTACGACCGCTACGTGGCCATCTGCAAACCCCTCCACTATGTGGTGCACATGCACCCGCGCGTGTGCCGGCAGCTGGCTTCAGTCTCCTGGCTCAGCGGTGTGGCCAATTCCCTGGTCCACGCGACCTTGACCTTGCAGCTACCTCTCTGTGGCAACCACCGGCTGGACCATTTCATTTGTGAAGTGCCAGACACCACCATCAACGAGTTGGTGCTCTTCGTGGTTAGCATTCTGTTCCTTGTGATCCCTCCGGCATTCGTCCTTCTCTCTTACGGCCTCATAACTCGCGCTGTGCTCAGGATCAGGTCAGCCCAGGCGAGGCACAAAGCCTTCAGCACCTGCTCGTCCCACCTTGCTGTGGTGATCATTTTCTATGGCACCATAATCTACATGTACCTGCAACCCAGGGACAGGTACAGCCAGGAACAGGGCAAGTTCATCTCCCTCTTCTACACCATGGTGACGCCCACCTTGAACCCTGTCATCTACACTCTCAGGAACAAGGACGTCAAAGAGGCTCTAAAGAAGCTTCTCTCAGGAAAACTGGGCTCCCTACGGAGGCACTAGAGGAAGTGATGCCACTCAGCTCCTGTTCAGCCCACCCATGGTTCTAAATTTCATTGCAACCACATCACATTCATGCACGTATCTCTGTAAGGTGATCGGCTGTCTTGTTTTGCTGTGTGCTTGTGTAAGTCAAGAGTTTTATCCACGGAAGAGAGCTATGGGTGGATGTGACCTGTGGTTCCCACCATGATGTACCTCCAACACTTACTCTCAATAATTCAATTAAAAGCTTAAATGTTTATTGTTTCACTCGGTTTTGAGGCTTCTAAAACTGTTTTGGGGTAAAATGATCAGTTTCAGGAACAGTAGATGGTGTTATAGTTGTGTTGCTAGATGCCCACATTGTTGACCACATTTCGAGTCCCAGACTCTGCAACTTAAAACTCACACTGGGCATGTGTGTGTACATGCCCAAAATCCTTGGAGGAGAATGGAGGAGAAGGGATTGCAGTGTCCCCCTGGGTAAGTCTTGCTTTCTGTCTCTCTGTCTCTCTGGTAAGCACATGCACCCTACAGCGATGATATCTCTTAAAAAAAAAAGTGTTCAGTTTCTGCCAAATAAGCATTTCATATTTATATAGTAATGTCTGTCCACTAATGCTTCATGAAAATAAGCAATTTCCGTATGTGCTTTCTTTACCAGGCAGAAGCAAAGGTGCCTGCTCATAGTTCAAATTCATTGATGACTAGGAGTTGTATTAGCTATTCTTTCTCATTTAAAAATATATTTCAAGAATTCAGTAAGGGTAAAAGAAACAAAATATGCTAAACACTCTTTTTGTAGAAATTAGTGAGTGCCTCTTTTCTGGTGATCTTAAGCCCACCATGTACATGGCAGACACAAATCTGGAGTATAAAAATCATTGAATGACTTTGTCCTAAAGCATTTAATAAACTAGATCAATAGAGATAATTTGACTTTAAAATATGCTATTATTTACATGCTAAAAATAGCCTTGTTGAGGAATAACTGATAGACAAAAAGTGCACCTATTTAATTGCACGGTTTGATGAATTACAACTTACGCACACTCATGAGAAAACCCTCACAATCAACATAACACATGTTTGCTCCATCTCTAGGGGTTCCCTGTGCCTGTTTTGTCATTGTGTTATAAGAACATACATGAGATCTGTCCTTTTAACACTTTAGTTGTACGGTGCAGTACTTGGGCTGTAGGCACAGAGACATGCAGAACACCTCAGACCTCACCATCCTGTGTGCCAAGCCGTTCACCCTCCAGGACAAAGCCCCTCGGCCCTCCCTTGAGTGTGTCTTTACTTCTGCATCCACGTCTATCTCACACACCTGATATAAGTGGGATCACACACTAGTTGCCCTTTTGTGACTGGCTTATGCAATTTAGCAGGATGTCTTCCAGATTCATCCATGTCACAAATTCCTGCTTTCCCTTTCTCCTTCCCTCCTTCTGTCCCTCCCGCCTTTCTTCCTTCCTTCCTTGATAAATGTTAATAGAAAAACATTATGCATATGTATGGTGTACAATATCAAATATAATGATTTAGTATACATGCGGATTGTAAAAGACTAAATCAAGCTAATTATCATCTCACCTCAATTGCTTATTGTTTTGTGGCAAGTACATTTAAATCTCTTAGCAATTTTCAAATATACAACAAATTGCTATGAACGATAGTCATGTATATTTCATATTGTACAATAGACATCCTGAACTATTCCTGTGAGCCATCCCTGCTGCCTATAAAATTTTGTATCCTTTGACTAGCAGCTCCCTAAATTCCACCTACTTTCTCTGCCTATGAATTCAACTGGTCAAGAGTCCAACCTTAAGTGAAGTTATGTGGCATTTGTCTTTCTACACCTGCCTTTTCTTTTAGCGTGATGGCCTCTGTGTTCATCCCACTGTTACAAGTGATATTTTTTAAGACATTGCATTGTATTCCATTGTGTAAACATACTGCATCTTCTGCAGTATGGGCGTTTGATGGGTGTTTGTTTCCCTCTAACCTGGGCAATGTGAATCATGGTAGTGTACACATCTCCTCAGGATGCTGATTTCAAGGCTGTGAGTCTATACCCAGAAATGAGGTTGCTAGATTATGTCGTGATTCCATTTTTAATTTTCTGAGGACTCTCCATACTGCTTTCCACTGTGGCTGCACCATTGCGCATGTCTGCTAACTGCACAAGGGTCCAATTTCTCTTTCTCTTCACCAGCACCTGTTATCTTTCATTTTTATCTTTCTTCTGCTTGATCCAATTTACTGTTGAAGACCTCATTTAGTCGTTATTTTTCTATTTACTAATTAAATTTTTTCATTTAGTACTTATATTCTTTTTTATTTATTTATTTATTTTTTGGAGAGGTTTTCACTATAGGGTGTGTGTGCTCGCCAGACAGACAGAGACATAGAGACAGAAAGCGAGAAATCACCCCCCAGGGTGGATGGTCACGCCGCAACCCCTTCTTCTCCATTCTCCTCTCAGGATTTTGGGCACGGACGCACATGTGCCTGGCGTGAGTTTAAGCCACCGGGTCCGGGACACGAACTGCGGGAGTCCAGAGACATAGCCATTACACTAACTGCTGGTTCCCAGTAGTTATATTCTTTAGCTTTAGATGTTCTGTTTGGGTTTTTTATGGTTTCTTTGTTTGCTGATGTTTGCCTTTTGCTTATGTATCATTTGCTAATTTTGTTTAGCTGCTCTTTGTTTTCTCTTGTATCTAACTGAATTTTTTTTGAGAGGTTTTTGCTATACGGTGTGTGCACTCACCAGAAAGAGAGAGACAGAAAGTGAGAAATCACCCCCCTCCCCAGGAGAGATGGCCATGCTGCAATACCTTCTCCTCCATTCTCCTCTTGGGATCTTGGGCACACATGCATATGCACCTGGCATGAGTTTAAGCCACCAGGTCTGGTACTTGAACTGTGGTCGACTACATGGGAGTCCAGTGACATAGCCATTATGCCAATTGCTAGTCCCTATCTAACTGAACTTTTAAATAAAATTATTTTTTAATTCTTTGCGACCCAATTAACATTTCTCTATTTTTTAATTATTTAATTGTATTTTTTATTACTTCTTAATTTGACTAGAGAAAGAGTGAGGGAAAGTGAGAAAGTAAGTTGCCAGGTCTGGGATTCAAACTGCAGTTGGCCATGTGGGAGTCCAGCACCTTAACCATCATGCCACCTGCCAACCCTATGCATACATTTTATACAGACCCCACTTTGTATATAGTGTGAAACTATGAAAGCTGGAAAAGCATTCTGTGTGCTCACACACACATGGTACTAGCTGCAAAAGAAAACGTGAGTGTGGAAGTGTAATAATATATATGAGAAGACCAATTTTTTGGAATAGAGACCCCAAAAATAAACCCCAAAGCTTACAGCCAACTAATCTTTTTTTCCATGAATAAATATTTATTGGCTGACTAATGAAAGCAACTAGAAGGTTCTCTCAGCATTTGACGGAGTGACTACAGGCAAAGAAACTTCTGTCTAAAATAAGTTACCTAAAAGTGTATTTTCCCATGTGTCAATAAAAAAAAAAAAATCTTCCAGTATAGACAAACTTAGCTCACACAGCATGTTTAAAATTCAAAAGATAGAATTGTTAAACATGCAACTGTTTAAATAAAAAGACACAGATACACAAAATAATTACTTCATTTAACAAGCACAGAGGAAATCAGATTATATTCTAAAGGTAATGTGATAATTTCAGCAGCTGTAAAATAAAGAAAAAATTAATCAAGTCTATTGTCTTGAGTTTACAAAAGGAAAATAAACTTGTGCAAAACAAAAGAAGTATGAAAAACTTACATAATGCATAACAAAAAAAATAGTGAAGGTAATTGTATCACCAAAGAAACAGTATTTTTTCTAATTTAAGCATATTAAAAATTAGTGTGCCTATTAACAACAACCAGGGTCTGTGTTTAGAAAAGAGAACATACTCCCTTTCCCTCCAAAACCAACTGATTTTTTTCAGATTTTTGAGAGGTTTTTGCTATAGGGCGCGTGCACTCGCCAGACAGACAGAGAGAGACATAGAGACAGAAAGCAAGAAATCACCCTCCAGGGGGGATGGTCATGCCGCAATCCCTTCTCCTCCATTCTCTTCTCGGGTTCTTGGACATGCATGCACACGCGCCTGGCGTGAGTTTTAAGCCACCGGGTCCGGGACGCGAACCACGGTCGACTACGTGGAAGTCCAGTGACATAGCCATTACGCTAACTGCTGATCACCCAAAACCAACTGATTTTTGACAAAAGATACCAGTCAATCCATTGGGAAAAGGAAAACCTCTTTAGTAAATGGTGCTAGAAAAACTGGATATCCACCTGCAGAAAGATAAATCTGAACTCCCATCTTTCACCATTAACAGAAATCAACTCGAAATGGATCAGAGATCTGAATATAAGACCACAAACTATAAAACTACTGGTAGAAAACACTGGGGACACTCTGAGAGACATTGGAGTAGGCAAAGACTTCTTAAATAAGACTCTCAAAGCATAGGCAATACTCTCTAAAATAGACAAGTGGGATTGTATCAGGCTAAGAAGTTTCTGCACAGCAACGTTTCTGCACTTGTTCTTCACAGTAACAATGTGAATTGAGAACCCTCAGAATGGGGAGAATATTTTTGTCAAATATTCCTCAGATGACAAGATTACACAGGGAACTCACGTAGCTTACAAAAAAAAAAAAAAGATGGGAAAATGAGACAAACAAAAATCTCTCTAAGAAAGACATATGAACAGCTGAAAAGAATCTCAGGAAATGCTCCACATCCCTAATCATGAGGGAGATGAAGATTCAAACCACAATGAGCTATCACCTTACCTCTGTCAGAACGGTGAATATTAAAAATACAAAAAGTAATAAGTGTTGGTGGGGATGTGGTGAAAGAGGAACTCTCCTACACTGCTGGTAGAAATGCAAACTGGTTCGGCCACTGGGGAGAACAAATGGAGGTTCCTCAAAGATCTACAGGTAAAACCAC